GGAAGAAAAACACGTACCTAATGATGTTAAGAAGGCAATCGTATGTGCCTTTATCAGTGCATGTAGAGCATATAGGCAGTAAGAGTATTTTAGTCTCCACAACTATATTTGTTGATGCATCTCAAGGATCGACGCTAACAAGTTACCTGCAACTGTTCCGAGATCTCAATGAGGCAGGGAAGTATGCATGGGGTGCAGCAGCGCTTGCGTTCTTGTATCGTTCCTTATCATGGGTACTGACGACCCATGATCGTGATGTGCATGGGGATACACATTTTAGTGGGTTAGCAACACTACTACAGGTAACTTGTATCGTTCATTAATTTTTATAGTCAATATTGAGATATTTATAATTCCTTTAGCTTCAAAGTAATTGCTTCTATCTATATTTTCACATTCTAGTTGTTTTTTTTTTTTGCAATGTTGGATCTATGAGCATTTTCCAACTCTAGGAAGGAAGCTTACAACTATCACTATAGAAATGCCTAGAACTTGTAAGTGGAAGAAACAACCACATAGCAAATACCCATTAACAGCATTTGATGACATCTCAATTGACATGGTTAGTAATTTTCTTGTATGTTTATGTAATCGTAGGTTTATACAAATACAAATAAGTTATTATTGTATTATGTTTTTGTTGTATGTGACTTGGCAACCACATGAGGAGTATAGTCCCCAAATACATTAAGTAAATAAAATGCGTTGTGTCGGTCATATCTAATATATTTCAACATTGTAAAGCACTATATGCCTGACCATGTATTGCGACAATTTGGGAGGATACAAGTGATTCTTGTTGGGCCACCCAAGTGGGATAGGAAGGAAAATGTTGGTTTACATCGAGTTGAGTATCGAGATAAGCAACTGGCGTCAGCGAGAATATAACGTTGTCATGGTAGACGTGGAAAAATATGGTGGAATGCCTACAAATGAATATATGGCCTCGTACAGCATGTTCACCCATAGATATAGAAATACTACCATGTGCCCCCCCTCGCAGTCACAATCAAATGTGCCCTTCCTTAGAGGCCATGATTATAGAAATACTTTTATGTGCCCCCCCTCGCAGTCACAATCCCATGTGGCCCCCTCGAAAGCCATAATGACGAGAGGAGATTGGTATATTATCTAATTTATGTATTTTATTTTTATTGACTTAATATGCATTCAAAGTAATTTTCTATTTTGTTTTTCATTGTCTACTTTACAAGGATTAACCTGTATAGGGATGTTATAAGATGTACTTAGGGATGAAGTATTAGCTAGGGAATCAAGACATTATGTACAAACGACCCATGATTTGCTATTGCAGAACACTCTTATGGAGACAAATGTCGAGGAGAGGGTGGAGGGAGATGTTAGAAGCGAGAGCAAGAAGAGAGATGGTGGAGATGACGAAAGTGAAAGCTAGGAGAGAGATGGTGGAGATGACGAAAGTGAAAGCGAGGAGAGAGATGGTGGGGATGACGAAAGTGAGATTGAGAAAGCAGCTAGTGGAGATGAGGAAAACGAGACTAAGGAGGGAGATGGTGGAGATGAGGAAAGAGAGAGCGATACCAATGACGACAATGAGAGGAGAACGAAGAGCAGAAATGAAAAGAACAAAAGCAACCAGATTCAAGTTATGCCAGCCTTGCATGAAGAATCAAGGCGGAATTTGTGATCACGAAGAGAGGGAGATGTCCCGGTCAAAAGGACTAGGGAGGAATTCGATGTAAAAAGAAAAGATATTGCAAGCTGACCAAAAAAATGGCTAAAGCGAAGAAAGTGATTGACATGTTTTTTTTTAGATGATACTCGAATATGTAATTTGAAAAGTGACTAATGCAAGTTGCAAATGCAATGAACCTTATTTTGAGTTGTATTTTTCAATTGATATGTATTTTTGAGTTTCTAATAGTGACATGTCTATTTTTTTTTGTATACTTGAAGCTACTCTATCATAGCAGCCAGCTAATGAAATGTCTCATTCTAATAGATTTTTAAACTTTGAAGTGACATGTCTTATTCTTACTGTTGGAATTGTTGAATGCTAGTTGGGTAGCTGAGACACTTACCCAAGGTTACTTTTGTTCTTGGAATTTTTTCTATTTCTCTTGGATGATACTATTCAAGGAGCACCTTGAGACTTTAGGAATGGATGTGGATTATAGTTATCTGAACATGTGATTTTTCATTTTTATTTTTATTTTGACATGAAATAATATTCTTGATGATGATGTTGCAGCTATGGCTGTGTATACTTAGATTGATGTTCGGTACAATGCTGATACCAGTTTGCAAACATCAAGTACATGTTGTGCTTTATTAACTAAAACATGAAACATGTTCCATTAACTAGGAAACATAGTTTTGGGGCGGTCCGGTGGTTTTGGGGGGCAGTCAGACGATTTTGGGGGGCGGTCCAACGATTTCGAGGGGCAGTCTGGCGATTTTGAGGGGTGACCCGGCGTTTTAAAAGGGCAGTACAATGTTTAAGGTCACTGGAATTGCCTCGGTCCGACGTTCTGAGGGGCAGTTCGGCAATTAGACACGGCAGTCCGGTGTTTAAAAGGGACAGCCCGGCGTTCAATGTCATTTGAACTGCCTGATTCGACGTTCTAAGGGCAGTCTGACAGTTTGAAAGGGCAGTCCAGCGTTTAGTGTCACTGGAACTGCCCCCGGTCCGGCGTTATGATGGGCAGTCAGGTAATAAGGAAGTCAGTCCGGTTTTTTCAAGGGGCAGTCCGGCGTTTAATGTCACTGGAATTGCCCAGGTCCGGCATTCTGAGGGGCAATCCGGTAATTATAATGGGCAGTTCGGCATTTAGTGTCACTGGAACTGCCCCGGTCTGGCGTTATGAGGGCAATTCGACAATGAGGAAGGGCAGTCCGACTTTTTCATGGGCCAGTCTGGCGTTCAGTGTCACTGGAACTGCCTCGGTCCGGCGCTCTGAGGGGCAGTCTAGCAGTTTGAGAGGTCAATCTGGTATTTTGAAGGGGCATTTTGGTGTTCAGTGTCACTGAAACTGCCCCGGTTCGACGTTCTGAGGGGCAGTCCGGAGGTTAGAGCGGCTAGTCCGACGTTTGTATATGGCAGTCCAAGGATTTTTGCTGGGCACTTTGGCATTTTACAAATGCGATCCGGTAATTACGGGAAGGGTATCTTCATAAAAAAAAGTTCACTTTTTGTATTGGGGCGATATTTGCTAGGAAACATAGTTTTGGAGAAAAAGTTGTTAGGAAAACTAAGGTGGGGAGTAAGTTGAATGAATAGGTGATTTTGGGGGGGGGGTGGGGGTTTATGACATTTTTCCTAGATTCATTGCTAATTCTACCACTTCTTGTCTTGCCTCTCATCTTTCTCAACATCATCATCTCCGCTGCACTCATTCTATGGGTATATTGGTTTTTGTCTGCCCAACATTTTGCCTCATAGAGCAAAGCTGGTCTCATCATTGTCCTATAGAACTTGCCCTTCAGCCTCATTAGTATGTGGCGATCATATAAAATTCTAATTGCACATCTCCACTTCTCTCACCTAGCTCTAATTTTGTACACAACCTCTTCCTTGATCTCTTCATTTTCCTAGATTATCAATCCAAGATATCGAAAGTGAGGTCTTTTTTGTACTTCTTGGCCATCAATCATAAGTACTTCCTTATCTCTACTCCTATTATTACGAAATTTGTACTTCATATAATATGTCTAAGTCCGACTAATTTTAAAACCTTTGGATTCTAGAGCATCCCTCCAAAGTTCTAACTTTGTGTTGACGTCATTTTGGGTCTCATCAATCAAAATTATATCATCTGTGAACAACATACACTATGGTACCTCATCCTGTAGGTGTTTAGTTAAGTAGTCCATAACTAAGACAAAGAGGTACGGGCTCAATGCTGACCCTTGATGTAGACCTATTGTCACTAAAAACTCATTTATCTCTCAACTAAATGTTCGTACACTAGTAACCGCTCCGTCATACACATTAAAAACCCACTAACGATTTCAAAAAACCGGTAAGGGGCTCGTCATCCCCATTGAATTACCAAAAAAAAAAAAGTCGATGTAGTGTCCAGAGACGCATTTCTTTTCCAAAACCCATACCCTATTTCAGGTTAAAAACTTCCTTTTATTTTATGAAATATTTGAGTTCCTCTTTTTTACCACCACAGAAATCACTTTATATGTTTAATGATTTTCGTACTGTATGTTGTGCAGTTATAGGTACTAGAACATATGAAAACTCTCAAGCCCGATAAAAAAAAAAACAAGACTTGTCCGTGCTAGGTCCCAAGAGCTGCGAGTTGGAAGCATCCGGTCCACAGTGAGAACCTAGTTCACAACAAAGCATACCATCGCCAGGAGCTCGATATGCTCATGCCTGAGAGGGTAATTGTAATCATACATTTTGTATATGAATCATTTTGTATTTTTATTCATTTTATATTTTTATATGAATCATTTAGTATTTTTATATGAATCATTTAGTAATTATAGTTGAATCATTTAGTGATGATAGTTGAATCACTTTGATGATGATAGTTGAATCATTTTGAGAGCGTCATTATCTCTGTAGGTTTATTAGGACACATATGTTAAAGAGAAAGAACCAAGGTAGTGAAGAGCCAGAAGCAAAGTTGTATAAGCACATACTATGCTTCGTGAGGACCCATATGTGAAAGAGAAAGAAGACCTCAGTCGTGACTATGCTTCTAGCTGCTCACGACCGAGGACTTTCTCTTTCACATATGGGTCCCAATAAACCTACAGAGATAATGATGCTCTCAAAATGATTCAACTATCATCACCAAAATGATTCAACAATCATCACAAAATGATTCAACTATAATTACTAAATGATTCATACAAAAATATAAATGTATAAAGTTTATATATGACTACAATTACAGTCTTAGGCACGCGCATATAGAGCTTCCGGCGATAGTATGCCTCGTTGTGAACTGGTTCTCACTGTGGACCGGATACTTCCATCCCAAGAGCCCCATCGCGGACAAGTCTTTTTTTTTTTTATTGGGCTTGAGAGTTTTCATATGTTCTAATACTCATGCCTGCACACATACAGTACAAAAATCATTAAATATAAAAAGTGATTTATGTGGTGGTAAAAAAGAGGAACTCAAATATTTCATAAAAAAAAAGAAACACAAATATTATAATAGGAAGTTTTTAACCTGAAATAGGGGTGACCGAGCCACTTAAATGCGAACATGTTGTATCACCAAGTTTCACTGTTACAAACTTCGGAAGGGACTGAAACAGGTATGCTAGAGCCGCGGACCCTAAGCATATAATCTCGCGCGTTTGAAATCTTCAAACAAAGTAAGGTATCTTGCGGCACTTCATTGTCTTTCGTAGTGGAAAAGATGGTGCGGCCGACTAGGTAGAGCAAATAAGCCCTCATGTGTTGCTCTATTACCACCTGCGTTGCATCCTTAGGTAGCACTATGAATCTACTTTTCAACCATCTGAACTTAAGTATATGCAGTTGAACCTCCTCTGGGCAATCCTCGAGCCACTCGTTTATGTACGTCACATATGGTTGGCAATCTGTAGTCAACACGGGCTCACCAGTGACGTTAAGGTGGTATATCCGCCATGCGTCATACAATGTCGGCATCATCTCTCTGATGCATGTCGGTAGATGGGTGGTGTTTGTTTCGGGACGCCACCTTGCTGTCATAGTGACAATCAATGGATGATCAACAGTTCTGGGCTGATGCTTTGGTAGTTGTACCAATGGCAACAACCCCACCCTCTCAACAATGTTACGTTGATCCTCTCTAATGGGGCCATGCCTTGACACTTGGAAAGGACTTGTCGATATGAAACCTTGATCTCTCCTGTAAACAACAAATGACACTTTAGTGTGTACATTGTTAACAACATGCATATGATTTGAATTTTGTTATTATAAACGATGAGATTTGTGTTTACCTTTCCTTGGGAGACCATTTCAGAGATGTGCTTCTCTTTCAGGCACAATAGTACATTGTCCTCACCATCATTATTCCCTTGATTTTTCATCTTATCTACAACAATAAATTCCAATTTAAGAAAACAGACTTACTATATGCATCATAACAGGGTGAATGAACTGAAATTATTTATATTGGTTTAGTTGACTAGTACTAAGACTTAATTGAAGAAACATAAACCATTGAAGGCAATAGTTACAACCGCATATCTTAGTGAAAGTTATAACTATCCATTCAAGAGGTTGGACAATGATGGAGGGAGAGTGACAGGCATAATCGAGTTTATCTTAATATCGATGGGGTCCACTCTCCCTCCATAGCCAACCAACCTATAGATTAGATGATAAGAACCCTCATGTGTTGCATTATGTATCACACTCTAGATATGCAAGGTATGTCAAGGGAATATGAATGAGGAAATAACACATAAATTTATAAAATCCTAGCAACAACACATAAGTAAATAAAATATAATACTAGTAGCAGTGATAATAATGTGACAATGATGATGATAATGATCAATGGCATAAAAGTACATAAATTTGAAGGATTTGGCTGCTTTCGCCTAGTGTTTATGGCTCAAAGCACATGAAGACTAGGCATCCAGCTTTTGAATCACAATTTATGCACTAAACACACATTGGGAGTAGTAAAAGAAAAATAGTACCAACTTAAACAGTATCACTTTTTTCGATTTTTTCTCATTTTCGATTTTTCCTCATGTGTAGAAAGAGCAAATTACTATGGAACTACTATATGTTTTCCGTTGGTATTACTTAAAAAAACCTTAAGCGGTCCAAGGATTTAAATCTTGGACCTTATGGGCAGTGCCCCAATCTCACCGGGCTCTGCCCTACCAATGGAAATTAAAAAAAATAAAAATTAAATTCGATCCGAGGATTTTCGAACAGAGGGGTAGTTTTATAAAATAAAGTCGGTCAAACCGACCTTAGTTGTAATATTCACCTATAAGAGGAGCAAACCGTATTTTACGTACTTATATAGGTTCCATATGTAAATAACTCTAATTTTTTGGATACGTAGTCTTAAAGGACATCAAGATAAGGAGAAACTTCTTAAGCAAAAGTGCTTCATTTGCCTGGTAGTAGTCAAGAAAGCAACAAATGCTCATTCCCAGGCAAAACCTAACCTTCAATTAGAGTCTAATGGATTAATTGATAGAGAAGTACGACCAATGTCTCATCAAATAAGCACCTGCAGTAACAAAAAGAACTTAAAAAACACAAAGCATGTAAAAAAACAGCAAAATACTAGAAAGAATATCACATAAATTCAGAAAAGGATGGCATTCTGGAAAAGTCGATTATAATTAAGGTTATTAAAAAGTCAACAACAGCTAGGATACAACAACCTATAAAAGTATTATCATGAATATAAAGAAGTACATCATAGCTTTGCTTAAGTGTTTTTGATAAATATACCGTGTTGGCTATATAACCAAAACAGAAAATAAAAAAAATTAAAAGGTTTGGATCTCTGGGACAAGCATCAAGGAATTGAATCCTTGAACTCCCTCACCCAGAATAATATGTCTACCACTAAAGCCCTTCCTAAGGGACATGCAAAAGGAGAATACAAGATAGGTATACTTGATATTACTCAATGAAACAATAGAATATATATTATATTCATATATCGAGAGGCAGCATGATGACCTTTGTACATGAAGTACCTCATCAAGAAAGCAAGGTAGACATTTAGAAAACAGCCCAGACATTCTCATCATGGTTTGTACTATCTGTGGTCACAGAAACTTGCTGTAGGTAACACCTTTGGTCAGACAAGCCTGAAGTCTCCTTTTCCATGAGTTTTGAGATGAGTAGAAGATGGAAACTATTGTGTGCTTTCTCAATTGTGTACTTACTTCAATTTGCACCACAAGCATCAAATATGGGACCAACTTGTAATGAACTCTGTGATTAGATTACTGTAGTTCATGAATCGGGAATTTCATGCAACAAAACAGAACATCACAGCACGATCCATATTTAAGCACCAGGTTGCAGCAGAACGCATAGTACTCACAAAGTCAAATATCAAAAAGGTGCTCAGTCATTACCTTTGCTGTTGTAACCAGCTGATATAAGGAGCATAAATGACATTTTGTTTTTTATATATAATGTAAATATATTGAATGCAAATATATTTGAATGCACCAATAATTTGCTGTCAAAAATTAAATAAACTAGCTACACTTTTGAAGGACTCAACAAGTTTTTGCCCTTCTTGTGCTTATTACTTGAAATTTTGAAAGCTTAAAGTAGAGAAATCGATGTCCAAGAAAGGTTGTAAACAATAAAGAATAATATTAGTACCTAACTGTCCACTAATTGGATAAGTTTTCTTTTGCTAAAACTCTGGTCCAAGATAAAAGACAATTTTTCCATGTATCAGAAAATCACTAACACCACCAAAGAGAAAATTAGTCACCTGACTCGGTGATACAGACTGTATAGCATAACTAGTTCTTATCTCACAACCATGTCTCTCAAGCACTTCTTTGACCTGCTGTTAACACTTTATTCTTTCCACAAGAGCATTGTAGCTAGCTTCTTTATTTCTTTAAAAAGGAGCTTTTTAAAGATCAGAACCAGTTAGCTACCATGCAGTTTTTTTATGTAAGTATGTGACATAGTAAGCGTCTGTCGTCTACCAAAGAGCTACAAAAACTTAAAACACTATGAAGTCATGCCACTCTACTCGAGAATAAAAAATTAATATCCATTAACGTGGAACAAGTTGAGAAAAGCACTGAAAAGGCTGAAAATCTCATTTCTGTTTCCAAAGAACAGGACCATTAGTGTAAAAAAACCCATTATTAAACAATAATAGCCACTGAAGTGATTTTGAAAAATGCAAAGATTAAAGATTTTTTTTTTTGAAGCTGTTAACGGTATGCGAAGATTAAAGAATTACAATAAAGAAAAAGATTTATACCAAAATAGTCACACCAGAGGCAATCATCCCTCTATCTCTTGGTGAAGAGCTCTTGGTGGCTGCACACATATCAATTGGTAATTACTATAAAAAAAATGCATGATAAATATATAAATAAAGTAAGTACTTAAGATTTGGAATACCCTCCTGGTAGTAATGTCGGAGCCAGTCCTAAGCACAAATCAAAGCCTCCGTGGTAGCCAAACACAAGGAACTACGATAGTGAGGCTGAATCTGAAGTGATGGTGGACATCGGAATAGCCGAAATACCTCGAACAATTTTGGAAAGTATGGGGTACATTTATGCATTGCATTTCCACGAACCTAAGTATCAAAGTCCCCATCTTCATCACGAGGAAACACCTCATCTTCTAAATAATGATCCGGATCTAACTTTAAGGATGCTAAAGTTTGGCTGAGAAATTGGTTGAAGTCTAAATGAAGCCTCTTTTTGTAGGAATCATGTCCTTTCAATACCTTAAATTCAGATTTTGGATAGCTCTTAACTTCAGTGGGAGTAAAAAAGCGACATGACTCAAGGATCTTGGTGCACTCAGACCAAGAGTCATGGAACCCCGAGTGAGTCATGAGGAGGATTTATATACATGGGAAGTACCAAGAGGGTTGAGGGTTACCTCTTAGTCAGGGTCGGCTATTATATTTGTGTCTCATGACTGAGTGATGGCTAGAGCAATACGATTTATGCGTTTATGTGATTGTGATATGAGCTCGATGATGAGATAGCTCTGTATGGGAGGGTTAGGGCCAATAGAGGTCATTGGCCTAAATCCCTAACTTTTAGAGCCTTCTCGTAGCATATGCTTAAATAGTCGCAATGCATGGGCAGCCGTTGTTTCTGGAATCCACTGGTAAGAGTATGCACATATGCCAAGAGAGGAACCCCCGCACCATGTGTGTGTATATCCTCTAGGGGATACACCTGAAATCCACTTATACCTGGGTATTCAGGGTCACTCATTGGTTTGACTGTGATAGGCTAAGATCATGAGCCCTTGATTATATACCATGGGTCATGAGTCAGTTGGGTAATACAAAGAAGGTGGCTTTGGATTTCGGGTGTAGCTGAGTGGAGTACTCATAATTTGTTTTGAGAAAGATTAACTTTATATTAATAAAATGGTCAAAATGTATAAGGACCACAAGATGTGGTAAAAGGCAGCCCAGAAGATGGGTGCTCATAGAACAAGAGAGGTAGGGGATCAGAAAATCCAGGAAACAAAACATAAAGCAGAGAGCTAAAATCTAATTTACAACAGACATGGGAAGGAAAGAGGTCTTCTGGTGAAGTATGCCATCCGGGGTGAATAAGTACAAGGGGTGGAGTGAGAGAAGTGAACATAAAAGAGAGAAAGAGAAAGATAACAAAATGACCAAGAGAGAGTCTGCAAATCCTTGAACATGACAGTTTTGTGAAGAATGATGGGAAGTCCTGAAAAGGTCGTGCCCAAGATGGAAAAGGCAGCATGGCCCTCTCTATGTGAGAGGTTGATAATGTCATGCGTTGGTTCCGCAACCTAGGCTTAGCTCTGAAGTACTATTCCGATCGCAACTGAGGCAACGACCATAAGCTGTAAGGGTGAGATTGAGCACAGGAATCTAGTTCTGAGCTGCCGAGCTTGATAGACCTATGGAAATGACCTGCAACCAGTGTTTGAAAAGTCGCTGAGTCAAACCGGACTCGTCCGGTTCAACACGGGAATCAGCACCCCCATGCCGATTCCATCACAATATGCAAAATCACCCGTGTCTAGAGAGAACCGGGCGGTTCGTAACGATAACTCGACGAGACGCTATAGTGACACGAGTGATTTCAAAGGTTAGGGGTAAAGTCTGAAATTTTTTTAAAATTCAAGAGCATATTTGTTGCCACACGTCAGGCGCGCATGGGTCTCAATCCTGCTAAGCAACCAACGTGATTATTAATGGCCTGCCGAAAGTATTTATACAATGCAGACTTAGATTAAATCTCCGATGTGGGATAATTCCCACATGCGCGCAAAATGATTGTAATGTTTATATGGCAATTAAAAGCACACTGTTATTACGTGGAGCAGTTGGTTATGACTCTCAAAATC